AGATGTTACTACACTTCAAGTGAAGTTAACCTGTGGCAAATTCAATTGAATGGGTATGATTTGGAAAGGCACTCTTAATAAAAGGTCTAACAGCTGATAATGCATATCAGAGCAAAAACCAAGCCCTGGGGTCAAAAGAACTGTGTGTAGAGCTCAGAAACAGGTTTGTGTCAAGCCACACAGCTGGGGAAGATTTCAGAAAAAAAACTGCTTCATTGAAGGGTCACAGAAGCATGTAGTCTCTGTTACCAAAAAATCCTCACCCTCCAGTTGTTCCAAACCTGCAAGAATATCTTTATTCTGTTGAACACAAAATAAGATATTTTTGAAGAATGTTCAAACTCTTAATGGTAGCCGCTGACTCTGTTATCCATAATGGAAGATGTTTGAAATAACCAGGAGCTGGCCTCCTGGCCAAACTGAGCAACTGATGGAGAAGGGTCTTGGTTAGAGTGGTGACCAAGACCATGATGGTCACTCTAGTTGAGCTTCATGATCATATATGCATATGGGATACAGCCTCATGCTGTGGGGCTGTTTTTCAGTGGCAGGGACCGAGGGGACTCATCAGAGTAGAAGATAAGCTCAATGCACCAACATATTGAGATAGCCTTAATGAAAACCCAGTCCAGAGCATTCAGAACCTCAGACTGGGCAGAAGGTTCACCTTCCAACAGGACAATTAACCTATGCACACAGCAAGAGTGGCTCATATACAACACTGTGAATGTCCTTGAGTGGCCCAGCCAGAGCCTGAGCTTGAACCCAATCAAATAATTCTGGAGAAACTTGAAAATGTGGATTTGCTCCCATCCAACCTGACAGAGCTCGAGAGGTGAGAAGAATGGCAGATAATTGCCAAATGATGATGATCAAAGCTTGTCGCATTAAACAAAAAAGACTTGAGACTGTAAAGGTGCTTCAGCTAAATATTTAGTTATATTAAATATTTAGTACTTATTTCAGTTTTTTTTATTTTTAATACATTTACGAAGTTGATTTTGCTTTGTCAGTATGGTGTACGGAGTGTAGATTGATGTGGGAAAAAAGTAATTTAAAGCAGTTTAACATAAGGCAGCAACATAACAAAATGTGAAAAAAAATGAATGGGGTATGAATACTTTCGCAAGGCACGGTAGTGCAACACATGTTTTCCCATTAGAAAATGCTAATTTCATAATTACTTCTAATGGTTAAAGTGTACTGCTGAATGTACTGTCAGGCATTCATGGTACACTAAAATATACTTTAATGTCATTTCCATTGACAATTGGGTAACAGTTTATTTTACACTGCCCTTGTTACGTGTTGCATGTACATCACTTACTGTAGTAATAATGTAGCAATAAATTATGCATAATTACATGCAACTAAACCTAAACCAAACCCTCATCCTAACCCTATAGTGCATGTAGTTAATTAATTTTACTCAGTACTTAAATATTCACTGTAACAAGGACACAATAAAATAGTGAAACTGAAAATTGTATGGCATGTATTCAAATATATTTATAATATCACATTTTAAATCTAAACTAAATTTTAAGTTTTAAATATAAATATACATTTTAAATATAACAACTGAATAATTTTGTTTACACATTAGTTCAAGGTGTCCTTGTTACAATGTATTTATACATTTAAGTACTGAGTAATATTAATTAACTACACAATACTTTATGGTTAGGGTTTAGTTTAGGGTTACTTGTATGCAAGTATGCATAATTGATTGTTATTATAATAGTAAGTACATGTAACGTGTAACAAGGGCACCTTAAAATAAAGTGTTACTATAATTTCAGATGCAATTTTGAAGAACACGGTACAGTTCAATATATAATTATGTACAGTACTTTGCATGTGCTTCAGCATGTTAATCAACATGTCAAAATAAGTGGACTTCCTTAAAGCATGACAAAAAAAAATATTAAAACATAACTAACAACAGTTTGTTCCTTTGCATGTCAATCAGTGTCTCCCAACTAAGTGGCCAACGTGGACCAGGCTTTGCTGAAAGTGTAAACACCACAAACATGTTGCTCTTATAATCTGTTTTGCTCATTTCAAAGACTTCTGTCAAGCATCTGTGATTTCAGGACCTTGTTTTAAACACAGATGTCTTTGCCTGTGGCTTCCGATTAGGAAGTATTTAAGCAAGGCTGTGAATGCAAATGGCAATCAATGTAAATGATTGTACAGTTACATGTATGATTTTCATTGTATACTTTCACATATGTCAGCTTGTTTTCTTTGCACAGTCTGGTTGTTATGTGCTATATTTGACTGCAGTGTGCAGAACAACCACACATACTTCACACAAACACATTTTGGCTGACTATTGCTGAAACAAAAAAACATTTGTGTGGTTTATTCATGGAAGGTGCCTTAAGCTCTTTATAAGATGAGAGTAAAAGACGGTACGGCACATTATGCATTTATTGACTCCAGAAAAACTAATAAAAAAGTCTATATTGGCTAGGGTGATTCGCACTTGTTCATGGCAGGGGTCCCCACTGATTTTTATTTTATTTTTTTCCACAGATGAAACCCTTTTGAAATCAATGGATAACTTAAAGAACACCTGAGACTTTAAGTAATGTTCAAAAATGTCTTTCATTCATTCATTTTTATTTTTTGGAATGCATGCATTATGAGACTAGACATTAGCTGGCAGTAGTTGTACATCTTTATTATGGTTTTATGTGCAAAATGACTGATGTAAGCAAATATTTGGTAGGTGAAGACGGTTACCTTTGGTGCGGCGGCGGCCCCTGTGCTCCGTGTAGAACTTGAGTTGAGTGTCATCATCCATTTCTGATCCAGAGTCTACCTGACGGCCAAACACGCTACCAGCTTCGAACAAAAACACACAGACAGTTTTGTCATCTCACACCTCTGTCACAGACATGTTATGCACTTATAAATAATTTGCAAACTATTATTTTGTAGTTAATGCATAATCTATTTACAGATTGTAGTCTCCGCATTGTTTACTCATTAATAGGCCATGCACAAATAGTGAGTTCTTCATTCATTGTCACTGTAATTTACAACTTATTATTGTTTAACTAGCATATACATACTAAGATCATGTGTTTTATGCTTGCTTTTGTTGTTTGTGATATTCTGGTGTGTAGATGTGCAGAATGAGTTGCACGCCAATAGTGATACATGCTCTGGCATCGATTGAACTATCTAGTAAATATAAGCAAATAACTAAACAGGGATACTAATATTTCTATATGCAAACAAGTGTTGTGCAGTTATATGCATACTTTGACAAAGACTATTCAATGTCACCTTGGATTTCAACATTTAATAACCCTAATAAAACAGAACGGCAGTTGTGAAACTATTCTTCATGATTCGTCTGTGCTTAATGAATGCCGTGACATCCATAAAGCAGTGTGATGTGTCAGTATACGTTGAGACTAACTCTCGTCTCTGTCAGCCAGATCTCACCTCACTAACAGCTCAGCGCTCCGCAGAGACGCCATCTGGACCCTAAAACATTAGACATTCAATTCCAGCCATTCAGTGATACACGTGTAACACTTCCCATTCAACAACAGAGGACAGTGTTTGCTGAAGTGAACTTGACTCGTGTTTAGGGAGATGTGGATCTCACGATTAGTGATGCCTGGTTTAATTAGCGATTAGAGCGAGTCTTGTTTGGTCAGTTGGTTCATCAGTAGGTAAGAGTGGAAATCAGGTTATTGGCGTGATACAACACACACTGTGTAATCAAAAGTCATCATTAAATTGTGAATGAAATAAGACAAGGATGAGAGACTACTGTTTATATAGATCTAAGTTTATATTGTCAATGCTTATGAAAAATAACACAGGACACAGAGGGTAACAGTTTAGTTTAGGTGCCAATTTTTGCTATTAACTCACTGCTTATTAGCATGCATAATACTAGTATATTGGCTGTTTATTAGTAACTTATTCTGCGTGACCATATTTTAGATCCCTTAATCCAATCCCATAGCCTATTTCACTAAAACGCTCCTCCTGGATGGCTGCTAAGTACCGGGCTGGCTTAGTTCGACTCAGTGTAATAAAATAAAGGCAGTTATTAACAATGCTCTTTGCTGTTCAAAAAGGCAAAAAGAGAGAGCTGCCAGTGCAGGCAGACAGACAGACAGATAGATTTTCCCCATGAATGATTAAGAGATCAAGGCGACTGATTCCGGGATCAAACAGTCAAAACACAAATCAGAAAAGCCTGTGGGAACCTCTCAGTCCACAGACCACACAGAGGCAGTTTTAATGAAACCCATAGACATGTTTCAAAGCACAGCAGATTTAATTTCTTTGACAAAAAATGGCATTAAGAAAAGACCAAATTACAAAGTTCTGTTAGACTCTTTTGGTACCATAAACTCTTGAGATGTCTTTGACTCAAATGAACACATTTCTATCAGTGTTGTCTCAGTGTGCAAGTCTTCCCTCTCTAGTCCTAGCTCACCTTTATTACTACTGCTCATATTGGGTTATTTGAAGGAAAAAATAATAATAAATGGATCCTTGAATAAAGCACAGAGATTAACCCAGAATATTGAATTTCAACACATAAATCATCCAACAAATTGAGGTGGATTGAAACCATCCAGTGCCAGCACCGGTGAAGACTGAATACAATTTAGAATGTGGGATGGATGGTTGATGGGTGTGTGGGTGTTTGTTTGGTTGGGTGGACTGGTGGATGAATGGATGGATGGATGGATGGTGGGTGGGTGTTCACCCCTCGATCTGTAATCAAATACACCTGAATAAACCAACCAGGATTACTTGGAGGCAGGCAGTGTGCTTGATTAGGTTTGGAGCTAAACTCTGCAGGACAGTGGACCTTGAGGGTCAGAGTTGCCCACCACTGCTACAATCTGATTGAAATATTGTTAATCAGGGGTCAGGTGTCTAATCATGCTCCAGTAAGGACAAAGTCCTGCAGATTCTAGCTACCATCCTAATTAAAACCCCTGAACCAGCTTATAAAGGTCTTCAGGATTATTAGGCCTTGGCCCAAATAGAACCCTAAGCACTTGCTGTCTTCCTTCAAGCCAAACTTTTTTTACGTAATGTGCTTTAACTATTGGGTAGAAGTCTGCTGATCACCTTTTGTAAATCTAAAATCACTAATGGGACACCCTACAGTCAGACACGCACACGGTGGTCCCAGTTAAATGCACCTGGTTATTTTAATCAGCTTGTCAGTAAAGACTCCAAGTCCTGAAATGGGTAGGTCAGATAAGGGAGACATCCAAAATGTGTGCCTCCAGCAACAGGGTTGAGAAATAATTAGGGATGTTTATGGAGCATTTTCAGAAAGTGTTTCCAGTATAATTTTCTGTATTAGATCTACTAAAGCGAAGTAGATCTAACACAGAAAATTACAAAATCACTACTGTTATATAGCACTCTGTCATCTTGCAGATTTAAAAGAAGACAAAAAAAAATGTCAACACATCTTGATAATGTCATCATGCATCTTGTGGGTGCTTTGATGTGAATTATCATGGATTTCATTAGCTTTTCCAATTTAAATGGCTATAACTCTGTACCCTATAGTGAAAACACACCAATCTTTGTATGCATGGAAGGTATGGGGCTAATTGCAGAGCAAGTAAGAGCAACTAGCTGTTAAATTTCTAACATCAGCCCCATGGATTTGAGCTCCCTTTCCAGTCCCTCTCCATAAGAAGATTTTTTTTAGCATTTGACTTAAGTAAATTATTTTTGACAAATGTGACATCTTTGGCGATGGCTAAATTTGCAAATGTAAATTTTTTGACTAATTTTGTTGACTAATTTACATAGACTAATAATAAATGTGGGTTATCTTTTTTATTGTGCAGATTTCTTTTTTTTTTCTTTTTTTTTTTTACTTGTTTAAGAAAAAAGAGAGAAGCATTTGCAGGGTGATATGAAGTTTTGTGGTTGTATACACATACATATTAAATCTAGCAATTTCTCTTTGAGCAGTATGCAAAAAATATGATCTGACAGAAGCCAATTTATTTTTCTACTTTGCGGTGGCTTTCTTTACCCACTTGATTCTGCTAATTACTGGAACTATATTGTCATTGCACATTTTCTCTCCCATGATACTTCAGAAAGAGGGTGTAATCTTCAGAATACATTGAGACAACAACATGAATACAACCACCAAAGGCCAGGTCACTGAAGTCATCATAAGTGGACTACTGTCACACCTCTGGACTTATTATGTGAGTTTTTCCCTCTCCATGTGCCTGCCCTGACCTAGTTTTCCCATGTTGATTGTTCATTAGATCCAGGTGTGTCTCGTCATCTCCTCCCCGAGTTTAGCCCTGTGAAAGTTCCTGTTCCCATGTCTAGCCCAGAGAAGGCTCCTGTTCCCACGTCCAGCCCTAAGAGGGCTCCTGGTCCCAAGTTAAGCCCGGAGGCTCACAAATGTCTCCATCTCCGCCTCGGGCTCCTCTGCCAGCTGCTCCGCCACCATTGGTCGGCCCCCTGGAGTCAGCAGCCATTCCTCCTCCATGGCTCCTCCCTCCGTCGGCTCCACTGTGGGCCGCTATCATGGCTGCGGCCTGGGTCTTGCTTGGGTCCTCCTGCTCCAAGTCCTTCCGGTCGCCTCCCTGGCTCCTCCCTCCATCGTCACCTCCCTGGACTCTGTCTGCTCCGTCTCCTTGTTCCTCGCTTCTCACAGTAGGGTAGTCGTGACAACTACAAATAAGCCTGACACATTTTATGCTCCAGAATCATATGTGCCCATTGCTAAGCTATTTGTGACGGGTCCCAGAGAGCAGGTGTGATGTTTATGGCCGGGCCAGCCTCCACCGGCTGCTACACCACTCATCTGGTTTATGCACATCCTCAAACTTTGATTAACGGCTCGCTTAGGCGAATAGGCATATTAATGGACCGGGCTGTTCTTCCTTATTTTCTACAAATGGATGAAACATCAAATGCACTCTGCAAAATGCACTGACAAATATATGACTGACACTCAACAGTAATCGACTGTGTGCTCATTCAAACAGCCAAGCTGCATTTGAATTATAATTGTAAGTCTGATTGCTTAGAAAATAAACAGCCCACCTCTCCTCTAAAAGCAGCATTATTTGAGATGTCACTCCAGTCTGTGGCACAAACAGTGTTCAGCAAATTTTATTTTACTTTTTTTGTTGTTTTCTTTCTAATTTTACTTCTTAGTACTTAGTAATAGTAATGCTTGACTTTGCAAACACAACTGATGAATGTGTTGAGGAGGAACATATGAGTATTATGCTTTTTTTCTTCTTCTAGTTAATTTGGTCAAAATTAATTCATTGTTTTATTTAGATAGCTTTGTAACTGGTGGGTGTTCTGTGTATTCCAGCGAGTGGCACTGATGCTTGTCCTGGTCCATGCGGACCACCAGGGCCAGAATGACACTCTAATTATAAACCTGCTGAGGCATGTTGAGTCATTGCTCTTGGCTATTTGTGCATACATATGCAATCTGTACAGCATGGGCGTGTGTGTGTGTGTGTGTGTGTGTGTGTGTGTGCACGCAAACAAACACCTATGCATACAAATTTGCATACACTGTCAGTCCATTAAATACATACATAAATAAATAAATGTTTATAAATATGTTTATAATATTTTTTTTCTGGATATCAAGAGTGATTTATGTATATTAATGAGTGTGTATACAAATGTTTATAATTCATAACATTTCTGTAGTCAATATAATACACAATGTGTATGCATGTGTAACACAAATAATAATAATAAAAAAATCATGTTTAATAATTTTATTTAATGATATTTAATGTAAATAATTTTTACATTTTTATAT